CTCACTAGGTCTATATGCATTACTATACATTATGGAGCCTTCTCAATATCCACCTCTCTGAGGCCTATTCGTCATCAATGATTGCGTTTTACCCTCAGACTGCTCTATTCTAGGGGTGAGATCCAATATACTGGCAAACTTGCTCATAGATTGATTGACACTAGTATTTACGAGTTTCAGGATATCATCAAATTTTGGCTCGATACCCTCATCCTCCATACGGGAGCTTATCTTCACCCACTTCCTTTGCAGTCGAGTAGGTAGGCGTCTTGCTATTACTTCTAGTATAAAACTCGAGTTGAGGTCACTCATGCAATTCATCGAAATCAATGCATTTTTGCAATTCAGCAAATTATCCAAAATTTCAGTGAGTCCCTGGGAGTCATCCTGTAATTGATCACCACTACCCTTAACAGCCTCGAATAATTTCCCTACAATCATTGAAGGTCTTCCAAACCTTTGACTTAGTATGCTCATAACCTCGTAATAGCCCTGTTTTGGCTTCATAAACTTACAACACTGTATAGCTCTTGAAGCATCTCCAGTGCAATACCTCATCAAATACGTTAACTACATTTCATCAGTTAATAAAAAACCACTTAACATGATTTCAAATTCCCTTAAAAACTGTATATAATCAACTGGGTTTGCGTCGAAGCACCGTGGTTCAAATTTAGGGAGTTTGATGTTCCTATTATCCCTGAACGGCGAAACAGTAATATCAACCATGTCATGCTTAACATCAGACACATCGTTACAAGTGACAGACAAGTCACCATGACTTACTTTCCTGTTTGCATCCAAGACACTCTGTCCCTTCTTTGACCCAGGCATTGTTGAACTTGAGCCAATTCCAAACATGTTCCAGATATTGCTTGTTCAAAGAGGACTTGACCGGCACCGGGAAAGATGAACGGTGACTATCCAAACTTTCACCAACTGTCTGAATCCGTTTAGAAACTGTTGCTTCACTGTCAGAAACTGTCAGCTGCGTCTCGTAAACCGTTGATGCCCAGCTCTCGCTACGCTCGGGCTCACGCTGTTCCTTGAAGTTTCTCAGAAACGCTTAGTAATAACGGACGCAAAAACCAAACACCGATTGGCGACTCGAGGATTCTTCATTGTAACACCAACATATAAACACTGTTATTTTTTTTTTTCAACTAAGGTCTGTGAACAAATATTACAATAATAAATCACAATATTACTTCTGACAGTTTTGGCCTGACTTCTTTCTGAACAGCGACCGATGAGACGATGACTGTCGTATTGATGCCTCCGCGAAAATTGGGGAAGTTGGTTTTGAGCAAACAACCATGAATTGATCGTTCAATCTTCAACTACATTGACAGCCTGGTATATTCTGGCAGTGACAGTTTTCGCAGCATTGCATTTCTTTGACACCATCGCACGCATACAGCTTTCTGCCCATCAGTAGCAATCATGACAAATACTTCCCATTACGTCACCAGATACATCGGTACCTGAGGACATTGTGACCCGCATCACTTTTATGCATAGATGGACGTGTGCAAGCAGGTCATAACAATCCACCAGGAAATTAGGTTTTTGTTTAATTTTGTAAAGTATAGTAGTAGTTAGTGTTACAGCAGCTTGGTTACAATCAATTTAACAGAGTAAAATGGGTATTGGAACAATTGGTGATAAATTTATCTAGAATGATCCTGTGAAAAGCAGCCGGATAACAAAACTATATATGCAGGATTTTCAAGACTGATTTCCATATGGTAAGTGTCCACTGCGTGAGTAGTACAGTCGATTTATACGTAAGTGACTACACTGAAGACTGAACTGGCTTTCACTTACCATCCTACCAACAGTTTTGGGCTTTTAGATGAGCTTCGGCGGATATGTTAATGTGTCTTTCTATGCTCCGTTTGAACTTATAAGGGTTTTCACAACATCTAATTTTAGATGATGGTTTGTTCCAAAACAAGCAATATTTAATTGCGAAAAACTGTGCTGTGATGGTTTTTCTGTGGGTAGCTACCTTGAGAAGGTAGTCATGGTTTCGCAGCTGATATGATCTAATATTCGCCCACTTTTTGGATCACTTATTGGACCAATGTTTGTTAATGAATATGAAGAGTAGAAATGAGTTGTATTTCGCTCTCCTTAACCACAGAGGTTCAAATTCAGACGTATACACCTCTCAGCATATTCCACTTCTTGGTCAAACCATATTATGCCAAACCATTATTATTACACTTTCGACTCTTTTTCAGTCCGCAGACCTTATGTTTCATCAAATAAACAGACTGAGTATGTGTCTAAATTGGCTTTAGTTATTTCGCACAGTTCCCTTAGCAACAGATCACGATTCACTGCAAGTGAGAAAAACACTCTGAAGGGAAAAAATCACACCTTAGTGAGACGTGTGGATGACGCAATGAAAATGGAAGAGGGGAAATGTGTACATTTAATTTGGAAAGGTAAGTAACCTGCCATACCATTGAACAAGAGGGAAAATATTTACATCAGATACATATGTCCTTCATTCAACCACGCACACAGGGCTCCTGTAAAACTTAGCACACTGACAGCTGAGTGAGGTGAGTGAGGCACACTCTCCTTCAGTTCTCATCAATGTCCCTCGGCTTTTGTTTTTCCTTCTGATGCCTTGTCGAATGAATAATTGTCTCGGCGGTATTAGGAGCAGTTACCTTAAACCACACGGAATATCTATCTGCAATTAGAATGAGAAACATGTTTAGAACAAAGATCGTTTGGAATATTTTATATAACTTTACAACCACGTTAACATCTGCTGTGGAGTGGCATTATTGCACACACCCCTAATTATAGCATAGAAGTTAATTGACTTGGTGATTTGATGATAAATTGAACTTTTGTTTGCTTTTAAGATGAAATTTTGTACGAACTGATTTTTTGAAACACTTATTATTGGTTGCATTATATTCTTGAACTGCGTTAAATTTGTTGCACTTTTATCGGGAAACGTCGCTTGCTACTGATATCTGTCTGATGCAGTGGAATAAAGGGGGCGACGAGCCTTTAAGAGTTAGAAAAATGTTTTCGGACTTTTACGAAATCGCGTTGGTGTATTTTGGCGTGTTTACTGAAACTCCCTGATATTATTATATTATTATTTGTCAATGTAGTTGAAGATTGAACGATCAATTCATGGTTGTTTGCTCAAAACCAACTTCCCCAATTTTCGCGGAGGCATCAATACGACAGTCATCGTCTCATCGGTCGCTGTTCAGAAAGAAGTCAGGCCAAAACTGTCAGAAGTAATATTGTGATTTATTATTGTAATATTTGTTCACAGACCTTAGTTGTAACAGTGTTTATATGTTGGTGTTACAATGAAGAATCCTCGAGTCGCCAATTGGAGTTTTGGTTTTTGCGTCCGTTATTACTAAGCGTTTCTGAGAAACTTCAAGGAACAGCGTGAGCCCGAGCGTAGCGAGAGCTGGGGATTAACGGTTTACGAGACGTGGCTGACATTATTATTCCCGTGCGTTTCGAGTGGAACATAGGGCTTGAAGAACACATCTTCACTTTGTTTCCCTCAGATGGGTCGACGGTCGATAAAACTTTCTCATCTCTTCCTCACACGATCTACTCCGTGTTAAATGTGTGCCGTAGAAAATGTAGCAGGCAATGGTGTTGTAAAGTAAGACAACGTTTTGCAGCTGATAACTCTTGCACATCGAACAGCAGCATAGTGAGATACGGTCAGGTGTTTACTAAGCATTTCATCTCATATATGTTTGTCTTCTTTTACTGTGCATACATCTCCATGCACTGTGACTGAATCGGTAACAATAATAACAGCTGTTGGGGTTTTGTTTGCTTTGCAAGGGTTTGTAGATGGTATCACAGACTGGACTGGTAGTGTTGAGGCGAGGTTTTTGGGGCTCTGGAATGGGTATTCTTTGTTCATTGGCGAGTGTAACGAGACTTGCTGGCAGCTGGCGAAAGGATATGTTCAACACCCTCGAGGGGTATGACTACCTTCAGTGCCTCCGATATAGATTTTACTGGGTGGCGTGACAGTTCACACTTAAGTTCGTCGGATAGGAGGCCCCGTGCAAAGCGGGTAGAAGTAGTCCCATCGTGACTTGCTTTCGAGAGAGATAGAAACGCTTAGGAGGAAAACTCGCGAAGTTGGTGGTCAGCAACCGTCTTATACGGTTCTTGACGGTGGAATAGGAAGGAGAGCATATACGAAGCGATGGGGTTTCGCAGAACACTCATCTAATATGCACCGGTTATTGTTGAGTATACTGCATTCCCCAAGCGTTTGCTTGGCTTGAGGCAGCATCACTCAGTGCTAGAATTATCTGGTCGAACTGACCTTGCGGAACGACAAGAAGAGGCTTTATCCAGAGTTTCCACAAACCTTAGTCACTGTTGATAGCCAGGGGCGACTGTCCTCGCACAGAAAGATTGTGTTCTGTAGTTGAAGAATGTGTGCTGGCTCTCTGGGTAGAGCGTATTGCAGGAGGTTCATATGAGCCCGATCTCATGTCGAGACTGAGTTTCGAGCACCTCGGACACCAGTTTCTAACAGGCACACAGATAACGAGAACAGAACAGGAGCTGTGCAGATAACGTTTATTCCACGAGATTCAGTTTTAAAAATTTCGGGGCTCCAGTCGTAAAGTCTAACAGTCATTTTTCACGTCTCGCTAAGGTTTAGATCCTGCAACTGTTGCAGCTCTTTATCCAGATAATTGACTTTAGAGTATCTTCCCGCAAGTAAAGAAAATAAAACGTTGACTGGCATTTATTATATAGGTTTTGTTGCCATTACTGATGTATTCATTGCCTACAATGCTAACCTGTTCTACGAGTTTAATTTCTCTCCAGCCGTTGCTGAGACTCACTAGATTCAAAGGAAATATTTTGTCTGACTGACCAAAATATTTCGTGGAAGAAATTAGAGATGGTTTCTCAGTAAAAACAAGCTAACACTCATTCCATTGGCTGATTGAAGTGCAATTACATTGATTAATAGAACAGGCACTACGCGCCAAGCTTAGAGGTGTTGCTACTTATCTAAGAGATGAACTGTAGGGAGTATTCTTTCTCCTTCGTAAGTTTTTTTTGACTTTTTTTATGAGTTTTACAGGCCTTACAATATCCAGAAGTCCCAGAAATTGTCTCAGGTACCTTCTTCTGATAATCATATTTTTTAGCTCTGTTTCATACTATTCTACTACACAGGACCTTACCAACAGTGAGTGGTTTTGATCATATAATCTTCTTATAGCTTGATTTTAAAGGAGGAGCGGTTAGTTACAATTCGTATCTTGGAATTCGAGATGTTGATTGTAAACACGTTGACTTGACGTATGTAAGTTAACTTAAGGAAAATCCTTTGGACGCTCTCTAAAACACCCGACTTACAAATCTAGAGAATCAATGGATTCACTACGTTATTATTACAATTATTTTTTCTCAATAATTAAACTGTTGTCTGTCACCGCTTCTCCATAATGGAGTTAAGCTATAACTTGCAAAATTATTTCAGTAGTTATTCTCTAGGATTAACGTTACCTGGGCTCCTTGGTCATTCAGAGGTTCATGCACAGTTTGAGATTTCGAAACTCCTGGAAATACACGATTTCATATATTGTTCCTACATCATCTCTGTGGCATTTTTCACCTAAAAACTTAGGGGATTAACCAAAATATAAAAAATACCGTGGACATTTTAGGGAAAATTATGCAACTCAACTTTTTTTTCGAAAACAGTTAGTTTGCCGAAGGCTCTTCGAAAACTTCTGTATGACCAGCAATCCTCCCGGGTTTCATACGAAGCACTGCATAGATTACATTTCGCCTGTAGTATTGAATGGTCTACCAATAAGGGAGAATACTTCTATGTCTCTGTGTAATCTATTTTTGAGAAATGTGGAAACTGCAAACTAAGATTTCGTACAGTGTATCAGAACTAGGGATCTTGACGTAGAAATCTCTCAAAAACGTATCATTAAGCTAGATCCTCTTAAAATGTGTTAATTTGGATATTTATGTGCCTTATGAAAGCTGAAATGATAGTTGATAGCAATCTAGGTGTTTGTAAGTATGTGGTTCATATAGTCTAAGTGCAAAGTAATGCTGTCAGTTTGGTGTAAGCCTGAGACCTTCCTCTCCCTTGGCGAATATGTTTCGTTTACTTGAGCAGTTATTTCATCTCTGACAAAGGTGAAATGGATGAGGTTCTCAATTTCTTTTAGAAACTCAGTGCCCTATGGGTCATATCTGGTGGTTTATGATAAATTCATGTAATAATGCTTCCAGTGTTGTTCTGTACACATGGTACCTAGTTTCATTGAGCTGAGGATTTCGGTTTGTGATAATTGGTCTCTTTAGGAATCTATGCAACTGATGGTGATTTTTAGTGTTTGAACGAGTTTGATATTTCCTGCTATCTTGGGACAGCGTTTGTAGTGGCTTTAGCACATGTTGCTGATGTCTTACGAGGAGCTTTGATACCGTTCACTATTCGTTATCTCTGAGACTTGTTGAAAGAAACGTGGTCAGCATACGGCGTGGAGTGTAGTATCAAGGAAAGCTGCGTTGGCGACTGTAGGCAGTCTGCAAAACCACCTGACTTAGTAGAATTTACTAGATGTGGCCCAAAAAAGATATCAATGGTGACCAGTCTTTACGTTTTTAAAGGATAAAATAACATGAGATGATGTGTTTTTTTAAAATGCATTTAACAACTCTACTGTTGAGCAACCACCTGTCTCTTTTTCTATATCATTACTTTGCATGTTGCACTACTTTGTGCACATTCTACACGAATTTTGTGTTTATATCAATAATTGTAATATTTGTAGGTAAAATAACAGTTATATGTTTTGTTAACGGAATGGTTAATCTAAGCTATGCACTTGTTCAAATGCCGTATTTAAGTTAGGAGTGTGTATTAGACATATATGCGCAGTCATAAAAGTTATTTTAAACAAAAGAATGTTTACTTTTAATATTACATTTTATCAGTGGCTTAGGTATTCATCATTTTAAAAAGTCAAAAGTGAAAGCAGCTTGGGAGTGTTGAAAACAAATTTTAGAGGTTGACGGATATCTCGTTCAACAACTTCTAATTAATTTATTCTCGTGTACCAAAGACAAAGCAAAAGCCAATTATTGATCGTCCAAACCAAGAGATGTATTTAGGAACCAAAACCAGCCGTTAGACGAACGCTGAGCTAGCTAGTGATCGTGCACGTTACACGACGGGGTACCAAATGGCGGGGATGCTTGACCGGAAGCCTTCAGCTAAACAAGTCGACTTAAACAGTGGTGGTTAGCATCCAATGAGTGATTGCTGTGGTCAATAATTTTGGGGAATTATTTACCGCTACAAAATCAAATGTTTGAGAGTAAATCTTGTTTCATCCCTATAAAAACGTTAAAACACACTGTTGGATACAAATAGAAAGTTTGGTTGCGAGCAGTGTACTTTGTTACAAAGACAAATGAACTGGTAGATGTATACATAGATGGCTAAGTGCAGGGGCTTATTTACCCCATAGAGCGAAAATTTCTTTTATCGATAGATATCAAACTATTGAGGTATTGTTGGTAGTCGAGTTCGCTTTCATTTAGATGAATCCTATCTGAAGTCTATCACTGTATGTCATCAGAGGAACTTGTAAAGGAATAGAAATTTTACCAGGTTGACCCTATTTTTTATGATTTTTCACAAACAATCTTAGAAATTTTCAAACAAAAGGAACACATGGTGTATAATGCGTAGACTTATTCTAGGACCTGGTCGTCTAATATGTGTTGTTTATAAGTCTTAATTTGATAAAATTTCACCATATTTCACTAATTAATGTTTAATTTTGATACTTCCATTAGGTGTGTGTAAATTCTAGTCAACTTATAGAGAAAGTATCTTCTGCGGTGTCAGTGTTTGCCGAAACTTTGCGACGTGATAGCTATTCAACTAATATTAATGGTGAAGTCCGCGGTGCAATTAACCTTGAATTTGTGGTTAATAGAAAAGGAGGTTGGTTAGGACCAGAGGCTTCAGTTTGGGAACGTTGGATTGTAAATGTCTGTTTAAAGACTATTAATGCAAATGGTAACATGATAGTTTTTCATGTGTAATTATCTAAACTTTGATTAATTGTCGTTTTCAAACTGATTTCCGATGATAATCTTATTTATATAATCATGTCTGTCCATAATCACTAACCCCTGCCTTCCTTGCTGTCTGGTAATAACTGTCTTTGTTTCGTTTATCTTTTTTGTCCTTTAACAGCCTCTCTATGCTTGTTTGTGGATATACTGTGAGAAGTATTCTTATTCTTCTGTCTACACTGATAACAGCAGTCTACCAGGGTTGATTTGAATCTTTTCAGGTTCTCTTCATAGGAGGCAACGAAGTCCTTTGTCTCTATACATAGGTTCCAAAACTGTATATCAATGTCGATTTGCCTAACGTCGTGATAAAAACCACAAAATTTAGGTCTTAGAGAAAGCGCCTCAAATTGTAATTTACCAAGAATTACGCTAGAAAAGCTATGGACATACCTTTCCAGATTTTCAGGAAATTTGCTACAAATCTGTTATTAATGTCCAACACAGTCGTCTTCCATTTCACAGTATTGTCTGGTTGAATTCTGCCTAGCGCGTTTATAACACAAATAATATTTATTTTGTCACCCTATAACTAATCTGTTATTCTACGTAAAAATGTATCCGCTGCATAACTGGCCATTACTGTAATGACCATAAATATTATATCTTATAATTGTAAGGACCTGAAGAGAAATTATTGAAAAGAATATTCTTCATTCAAATTGACTTTTAATTCATGATATGGGGATATTTCGCACTATCAGTGACAACCAATGCTAATTTTCACACTTCCATCCAAGATGTTATAGCGGCAAATAACACGCCAGTTGCGGCGAGGATTTCGTAAAACACCAATGAGTTTTACTGACTAGTTTCCAAGGAGAGAAGATATAGCCAATCAAAACGAAATTAGAAATTGTTTTTGAAACATCAGTCACTAGTAAAAATGTCACAATTAATCTATTGATTTTTTATTTTTTTTTTATTTTTGATTACAGCTTGACTCCACACCGTATTTTTGGTACAAGTGTGGAATTTTCAGCGTGGATATCGGTAGCCCAAATTTCGCAGGCCGACCATAGATATCAGGTGTGCGTCGGCGTGGGCTCAAACCCCGGGCCATGTACATGGTCGGCGAGAGTCCTAACCACTGTGCCACCAACGCACAATAACACTGAAAAAAAGTCACGTTAAGTGTTTTTGGGCAAAACCTGCATGGATTTCAGTACAAACAGTTCTTCTAAATAGTCAGTTCAAATACTGGCTTCTTTTTTCTTTTGGATAACAGGCTAGGGGTATAAGTTTTTAAACTCAATGCGCACTGTCTACCAAAAAACTTTATTAATTAATATCATCCCCTATTCCAGTTACTGCCGATCCATTATGTTTTACATTATTTCCAATTTGTTGAAAGTTTATATAACATGTGTCTGAATGATTTTAGAAGGAGGTTTATGATCCTGCCTGTACGTTTTATTTAGTTTGTATAATTAAGCTTAATGTTGATATTAAATTTTTAACATTTTGTTTATTTGATTGACTTCAAGATGAATTTCAACATCTTTACCTAGTCATTGACTTTTGGGCAGTTATGTGTGTGTGTGTGTGTTTCCTGTCTTGCCAGGTATGGACAACCAAACAACATTTCTTTTCCAAAATGTGTGCAGTTTTCACATTCAGTAACTTCTTCTAAGTAGTTACGAATTTTTTAAAATAAAAGCATATTAGTTAGTAGAAAAAATATCAGCAAACGATTGACACAACTTACACCACTGTTGTGTTATCATTGTTTCAAGTGTGACTTTAATTCGAGCAATTAAAATATGTGGTTTAATTGATGTCTGTTGGGAAACTGAATCATGAAGATAGTGTAACACCAGAAGGCAACATATGGAAATCAGGATATATTTTCAATTGATCAAACCGCTATTTATATCTATACAGTTTATATTCTATAACCAATCACTGAGCGTGTGATTTTTGTTTGCACTAGATGACGTGAAATAGAATGTTCAAATACATATAGCATTCTGTTACTAATGCAGTGTTGAACTGTGGGAATATGTGAGACTAATATTCCGTTGGAACACATTATCTGTATCACCCTACCACAATATTATTATTATTGTTCCCTTGGGTTCTTAGTGGAACATAAGGCTTAAACTGCACGTCTCCACTTGCTTCTTTCTTCTGCTGCTGTACTTTTAACCTGCATCCATGTTAGTCCATACTGTCTCAACTCCTTATCACACGATCTCCTCCATGTCACTGACGTCCCAGTCACCGCTTCCCTTTTGCGTTTCACTCGAGCTATGGCCTGACGCGCGGTGTCACCCAGCGGCCTCCTCAGCCACGAGTTTCCAATCCATCTCCACTTTCTCTTGCATATTTGTTGGGTGATTGGTTCTTGTTTTCTTTGTTCACTGACATAGTTTCTTGTTGGTGATTTTTCCCGTCCCGGCCATCTGATCTTCAGTTTAGATCCAGCGAAGACAGTTGTTGATAAAGGTCTGCAACAGACTGTTGGAAATATTCTTTGTGACCCACCTGCCGAGTTTCTGATCCGTATAGAAGAAGTGACTTGACGTTTGTATTGAAAATCTTAATTTTGTTGTTGATGCTGGCTGAGTGACGAAGGTTTCCAGATTGGTTTCAGGTTGATGAATGCGTGTGTTTCTCGCCTTCCCGATTCTCGCTCGATTTGACATCCTCGTCCGTTCCGCTGTCTGTGGTTGAAACAATGCTCCCTAGATAAGTGAATGAATGAAGTAACCTCTTTCAAATCCCTCCCGTTGATGGTGATTCTCGCTGGATGTTGCTGCGTTGTTGTTGCTGGTTGGTTGGCTGGTTATTTTCATAACCTCCGTCTTGTCTATGTTCACCTGGAGTCCTGTCTTCGCCTGCTGCTTCTTCGACCAGTTTGTCGGTTTTCGCTTGTAAGTCTTCGATTTTGTGTGACATCAAACATAAATCATCCACGCGCGAAATCCAGGTCTTCTAGGTTCTTCACGTCGGTCGGTCCAGGATATCCCTGTCTTCTCGTTTCCCACTGTCTGACGCATAATCCAGTCCACCACAATTAGGAATATCATTGGTGGTGATAATAAGCACCCTTGTCTGACTCCTGTGTTTACTCCAAACGCCTCGCTGAGTTTTCCGTTGTGGATCACTTGACATGTGCCGTTGTCGTACAGCTGTTGAATAAGGTTGATGAATATTTGGGGTACGCCGTAGTACTCGAGTAATTTCCAAATTACTTCACGGTCAACGCTGTCGAAGGCCTTCTCAAAGTCTATAAAGTTGAGGTAGAGGTTTGATTGCCATTCCATGCTTTGTTCGATGATGATGCGTAGAGTTGCAATTTGGTCAGTACATGATTTGCCTTTCCTGAATCCAGCTTGTTCTGGTCGGAGTTCTGTCTCCAGTGCGTCCTTTAATCTCTCCAGGATGATGCGACTCAGGATTTTACTTGGCGTCGATAGGAGCATGATTCCTCGCCAGTTCTTGCAGAGTCCTAAGTCGCCCTTCTTTGGTAGTTTCACGAGGTAACCTTTCCTCCAGTCAGTAGGCACCTTTCCCTCCTTCCAGACCTTTTGCAATAATGGAGTCAGCATGTCTGCTGTCGTCTCTGGGTCCGCTTTCAGTGCTTCAGGGGGTATTCCATCTGGTCCGGCTGTTTTTCCAGCTTTCAGAAGTTTGATTGCATTCAAGACTTCAGCTTTCGTTGGAGGATTGGTGTCAACTTGCAGTTGTGTACGTGCTGTTGTTGGTATTTCTGGACGGGTTGCAGGTGGTGGTCGGTTCAAGAGTCCTTTGAAGTGATCCGCCCATTGTTTAATCTGTTTTTCTTCCTTGGTAATTGGGTTCCCTTGGCTGTCTTTTATAGGTTTCGCTTGTGTTGGTCTCTTCCCGGATAGAGATTTGGTTATCTGATATAGTGTCCTCAGGTCCCTTTTGCCTGCTGCCTTTTCAGCTTCAGTGGCCAGGTTGTCGTAGAATCGTCTTTTGTCCTTCCTAGCACTCTTCTTCACTTCTTTGTCCAGTGCTGTGTAAGTTGAGCTCAACGTCTCCTTCTCCTGTCCGTCCTTGCATTGAATCATTTTCTCTTTCACCATTCTCCTCTCTTCTATTAATTTCCAAGTGTCCGTTGAGAGCCATTCCTTGTCTTGTCTCTTCTTTCTTCCTAGAACCGTTGAACACGTTTCGTTGAGAATCGCCTTCAGAGACTTCCAATGTTCTTCCACGCATGATTCTTCAGTGATGTCGCGTAGTGTTTCCTGCTTTGCTCTGACAGTTGCAGTGAAGGTGTCTTTTGTGGTTGTGTCCTTCAGTAATTGAGTGTTGAACTTGCATTGTGGCCTATCCCCAGCTATCCTCGAGGCTTTTAGTTTCACCTTGAAAGTCCCTTGTACTAGATAGTGGTCTGAACCCACATCTGCTCCTCTCCTTGACCTTGTGTCCAGTAGGCTCCGTCTCCACTTTCTTGAAATTGAGATGAAGTCTATTTGATTCTTGGTGTTTCCATCTGGTGAAATCCATGTCGTCTTGTGTATATCCTTGTGTTTGAACACACTACCGCCAATCACCAAATCATTGAAGGCGCAGAAGTCTGAGAAGAGTTCACCATTGTCGTTCATTTCACCGAGGGCCTCTCGACCCATGGTGAGTTCTCTTCCTGTGTTGTCTCCTCCCAGCTTCGCATTCATGTCGCCCATCAGGATTTTGATATCGCCATTTGGGACGTTGTCCATTATTGCTTGTAGTTGTCTGTAGAACGCCTCCTTCTTCTCTTGTTCTGAGACGTTTGTAGGCGCATAGCATTGAATGACTGTAACTTTCCTTCCTTTTGAGTTGAACCTGGCTGTCATTATCCTGGAGGAGATTGGTTCCCACTGCATGAGAGCTTTGGTTGCTGTTGGTGACATCATGATGGCCACTCCCTCGGTGTGCTCGTGGTTGTCCTCTAGGTGGCCGGAATAGATTACTGTCTCTCCAGTAGGTAGTTGGCACCTTCCAGTTCCGTTCCATCTGCTTTCGCAGATTCCCAACACTTCTATTCTGTACCTTCTCATTTCAGCGGCTATCTGGGCAGCCTTTCCAGTTTCGTACATTGTACGAACATTCCAGGTACCCATCCTTACTTTTGCTTTCATCGAAAGAAGGCACATCGGCTGACTGGCTTCCCGAAGGCTTTCACCAGCCTGCGTCATTTCACTTCCCCGATTCCAGCGAAAAATAAGGTTAATGTTTAAATTTTTATAATTTTTAATATATCTGTGCATTGAAGTTTCTGTAGCGATTTGGTTGTTTTACGGGGTGGAGTTGCTAGCACCACGCCCCAACCCTCCCTCTTTAATCGGGCTTGGGACCGGCTAGAAAACTAGCAAGCTAGTAGTCTGTCTAGGCGAGGTTATCACAATAGTACGGTAGTAAAAGTGTTTATTTCAGAGTTTTTGTAAGTATTTTGTACGGCGATGATTTTCATATCGATCAAGGCAAATAGAATTTATCTACAAATAAATGCTTACTTATCTAGGGTCTCTGGATATACTCATGGCTTACTTTTTTCAATGTCCGGAAGTATCACTGTAGATGATAGCCTTTATAAATGAAGAGGCTTTTTGTTGAGAATATCAACTAAAGAATTATGGCTTATCTAATAAATAGTCTTATGTGCAAGTAGCTTGTTCACTAAGTGACATCTTATTATTTTATTGTAGTTGTTAACTTCATGAGCAACTCTGGACTTTTGTTAAATTTTGAATAATAATCCTTTAATAGTATTGTTTTATATTCTCCCATGATATTATGGTAGAGTTACTTGAGAAGAAGCTAAATGAAGAGAAGTCCTCTTCTTCCTCTTCCCTCTTAAAGAAAAACTTGGTGTGGGGGTGGGTGGGTGGAGGGGAATCTAATCAGTGTATTCCGCATACTTTTGCTATAATTTGTTTATTCTCACCAGAGGAGGTGGTCACCTCCTTCATCATTCGATCGATCATCAGAGGATCATTTTGCTAGCGCTTGTGTCTTATACTCACTATTCATATATTAATAGCCTCTCGTCATAAAACCGCTTTTGTATCTTTCGCTTTACTATTTCCATGTATAAATTTAACAGTTTGTATTTTGTTTACGCATATTTGTTTTTTCTTTTAATTTTTTCTTTTTATATAGAAAAAGAAGCCTATCGTTGTCAGCTTAGCAGTCAACTGAGAGATGAATTATGCACAATTCTTGAATACTTCAATTCGCCTTCAGCATATGCTCCATCACTGGGTAGTTCACAGGCGGAAACAGAGCATATTATTGACTTTTCAATGTCTGGAATATCACCTTACCGTTTCAATATAACCCATCTTACTACAACATCAGGTCAGAATCGTTCCGGTGTGAGTGTCACTATGAGGCGGATATTTAAAGATGTTAGACTTTAAATAGAGTAAATTTGTCAAGGCTCATTGTTTTTCTATCAGTTTTAACTAAGCCATAATGCACCAAAGGGGGATTTTATGTGCTTATTTTAATATGCATTTGTATGTATGCTATCATCATGTAGAGTTGTGCGCCTGCTAACTTTCAGTGACATTTTTTTCTTAATATTCTCCTTTATATTATGAGATATAATATATAATTCTTATTATCATTGAATTGTACATGCATATATAAGATACATACATAATTCTTCTTTGACCTTAAAAGTGTTATGCTGTGATACATTATGGGAAACGATGCATGATCTATATATGTCCAAACCAAGTTCACTGAGACCGAGCACTTCGGTCCAATCAATCGACGGGAAAATCAAAAATTCAATTCAATAATTAATATGACCCGTTGCACAAGAGGTGGCTCTCGTGGCCCAAGTGGTCTAGTGGATAACGCTTTGGCGTTCGAAACTATGGGTACTGGGTTCGAGCCTCGGTGGGAACATCATCACTCACTGAGAAATGCGGCTGACGAGTCCCAAATAGGACGAAATGCGCATCCTGGATTCCACTGCTAGCCACCATCCACCAATTGTTCACTTTTAACGGTTTGAAAAAATTTGGGCATTGGGTTTACGATGTTCATTATAATAAAGATTTTTGTATTTCCCAATGAATGAAAAACAAAACGATGTTGTTTTTACTGTTTCGCTATTTAATGCTGCTAACAGCTTTCTCAAAATATTATTATTAAACCGGAATTTACAAAATCTCAGCATATGTGCATATATAACAAAGAGTTAAGAGGTGAGAAAATAGACTTAGGTCAAGTTAAAGGGACATATTGAAAGTCAAAATAGCAATGAAGATCACTAAACCGAATAACAAGGTCTGTTATGATATCAAAATAAAGTTTATTAACTTGATCATCGTTCGTCAGTCTGGGGTCATTTTTCGTTGTCAAGTTGGTCAGTTAGTAAAGATAACAAAATCAAGTGTAGATTGTTGGATTTGATCAGTGTGTAAAATTATAAAAGCAGTGTGTGTTTACATAGTGAACTTGCTTATCACATTCGTGTTGATTTTGTCACTTCATGGGGGGAGGGAGGTGTTGTTTAGTCCATCATTCCTGTTCAGAAAATTTGGATTCCACTTGATATGAAGTGCTTCTGATGATATTAGACGTTCTTTGTGGTTTCTGAAGTTTTTCTGGATTATTTCAATATCGTCAAAATCAATTTTGTGACCTGATTCTATAGCATGTAGACTTATGGCTGATGATTTTTGAAGTTTTCCTAGTTCACCCGGATTTCTCGGTGGTTGAAGAGATGCTAATTTGACTAATCAATCTCTGCAAGTAAGGGTTTCATAGCATATTCCTAAATGGCTCCAGAAGCAAATAGAATCCCCAGAACCCATCACTGGTAAGAACAGACAACATAGCTGCTCTATTACGAAACATATTACAGAGACAGGACATTAAATTGATGTTCACACGTCTTTTAAACCTATCTGTTAGTCTGACTTCAGACTAACGAACGATGATCAAGTTAGTAAACTTTGTTTTGATATAATAACAGATATACTACCTTTGATAGTTGGTTTGAATGATCTTCATTGTTATTTTGACTTTCAATATGCCCTTTTAAGTTGAACTAAGTCTATTCATTTCCCACCTCTTAACTCTTGGTTATATATGCTGAGTGGATTTTGTAAATTCCGGTTTAATAATACTTTGAGAAAGCTGTTAGCAGCATTAAATAGCGAAACATCAGTAAAAACAACATCGTTCTGTTTTTCATTCATTGGGAAATACAAAAACCTTTATTATAATGTATGGGGTCTAGTCTAGTTGTTAAGCCGTTTAACTTTGGCTAAGTGTATCCATAAATTTAAGTCTCATTCTTCTTAACCTGAGTTTGATAAAGCCTAAAATATTATCTCATACTTTATGCACCAGGTTTGTTTTAAATGATAACATATATGCTCTCATAATTGCTAGTTAGTTAATAAGTTGCATTTATTTCATGTTTGACCATAAATTGTCAAAACAAACAATAAATAAATAAATAAATAAATGCTTGTTTTCTAATTAATTAATTACATTATTTGCTGTTGAGATGAAAACTTAGTTAAAGAAAGTATATACTGATTGTATCTTGTTGTAAGTAGTGCTGTTCAAATTTATCAGTGGAACTAACAACATTGAAACAATGGAAAGGATTCAGGTCATTGAACAAACAAACAGATAGAAGTTTACTTTAATGTAGAGTTTTAAGCCAAATATATGTGTTACTTTTATGAAATATTATTCTAAAAAAATTACATGTATAACTCTAAAATCCTCCAAGTATATGATAAACAACATGTAGATTTCGAGAAAGAAAATCTGTATATATGCAAAAATAGTTACATTGGAGATTAGCCTTTGGACTTAGAAAATATAGTTTGCAGTGTGTCAACGCTGTTGGGCAGTCCCATCAATAAGAGTACTATGTTTGTGAGATGATGTTACAGGACTTGACTACACCGACTCCTAGATTAGAAATAGGGAGTGAAGTGGTAGAGCACGTTGACCGCTTCACTTATTTGGGAAGTACCATCAGTCAACGCCAACGGGTTGATCTCTGGCGAAATCTCAGCACGGATACAGGGGGCTCGTTTCGCATTTGCCAGTTTACGCCGACTCTGGCGTAGATGAGATATCCGACTATCGACAAAAGGGCGGGTGTACTGCTCATCAGTCCGCTCCGTCCTCCTTTATGGTTGTGAGACCTGGCCGTAGAGAGTGGAAGACATGAAAAGATTAGCTGTCTTTGATCATAGGTGCCTGCGCTCTATCTCCCGTGTGAAGTGGCATAATAAGGTGAGCAATATTGAGGTTAGGCGTCGAGTGCTAGGTAAGGAGGGGAAACCAATCGACGGGGCTGTGAAGTTACATAGACTGAGATGGTTAGGACATGTGTTACGCATTCCTGCCTAGTCATCGCCTTCCTCGACGAGCAATGTTAGCGGATTTAGGGTCAGGCTGGAAAAAAGCTAGCGGAGGTCAAACCAAAACATGACGGCACCAGTCAATCAAATCTACAACAGTTAGTTTAAGCCAGCCACGTAGGAAGGTGTAGACTTCTGACTGGTTGGGGTCCTCGGGACGGTAAAAAGCAATGGTTGGAAATAATTGGTGATATGGCTCAAAGTGGTCGTTATCAATGGCTGGTGCAGATGCATCCACACCTTGTGACTTATGATTTCCAATTAAACTATATTATTCTTCGTTATTACTCTTCCTTTGTCTCACACCTCTGCTTACTGTCTCTATTATGTTTTTCTTGTACTTTCTTCTCTTGCTTTGTGTGGTACATGGAGGGAGTGTGGCGACTTGAACTGGTGCACATATGTGCAAAGTTCTATGTCGAAAACAGACAGACAGTTTGTGAGGGCTGCTTCAGCTATTGATCCGGAACGCTACTTAGGCTATGCAGATTAAAATTGTCTCAATCACCTATTGGTTTAATGTTGAAATAGATTGAAAATTCTGCATAAAAGATTCTATTGAAAGGGATACTTTTATTGTCTTCCTCCTGTGGTGTATTGTTGTTTTGCGTGTTCTATTTATAATCACACAGACACACATACACACTGTACCATCCCAGTTATATTATTCATTTGCATTATTTGAGCTATATGAATGAATGAATGTTTAATTTGTTGTATACACTGTGTTGTAGTATTATTGTTGAGATTAATCGTTACTTTTAAATAAGAATGATATTACAGTTAATAAAGTGTTTACGTCAATGTGTTTTTGTTCATTTCGACTACACAACTCATTTCCACTGTCTTACTCTTAGAGATGGTACACAGTTGCATTCGAATAAATTTCATTTGAATTTAGTCGATCTAAAAGTATAAATAAAATAACTGAATTATATATTCAATTTTCGTATTTTTTTTGTTACAGATTGACAGAAATGAGAGTGCGTATAATATTCCAAGCCGTGTCTTATGTGGTATATTCTATCAGACTCATTTTTTTTTCTGTTTTTGACATATATAACGTAATTGAGGTTTAATTTTTGTGTGCCAGCTCACAATTCATCACTCAATGGGCTAATTTAACATATCATCTTGAATTTAGTTATTTATTTAACCCAACTAACTATGGAAATCAACCTTTCTAGTTAATCGGAACATCTTCTTTCAAAATAGAAGTGTTTTGCGTGAATTAAATTAAAGAAATCGATTAACTATTTCGATAAATCTAATTAAGTTTAGATTTAACTAGGATAATGTTGTTTTTCACTGATGATAGCAAACTATGCGATTAGCTTACTTGGTGGAGTTTCTACCTTTTTTTATTTGAAATTTTTTTATTTCTTTATGTTCCCAAACTAGAGGTGTGAAGTTTCCGTGGCTTTGGTATGGGGTTGCTTGCTAGCCGCCTCATGCTCAACCTTCCCTCTCTATTAGTGTTATTACTGGCTTGATAACAAGGTAAAAGAGTGCGTTGGTCGGGGATTGAATCCCGATCCACCTGAGTGGTTGGTGAGCTTTTCTACCGTTGTGCCATCAACTGAGTAGGCTACTTGACGGATTATAAAATAATAATTTTATCGGTTTTTGACTCATCAATTAAATGACAATAACAGAGTAAACATGATTGTAAGAAAGTAAAATGTTACATACCTTTATTATTAAGAAAATAAAAAGAATTTCCAGATAGCTGACACTATGATGGTTCGAATTCTTTATTTAAGCTGATGTGTCATATTTATATATGTAAATTAGTGTAATCAAATCCCACTTATCCAAAGATGATAGTCTTTGTTTACTGTCGTTTAGAAATGAGTATGCATTTATTCAAGTGTTGGTTTGTAGGGATTTGATTGGTTACAGGATTTCATCGTGAGCTGACATTGGTTAGAGAACCATTGGGAGTACTGGAGACCTTTTTCGTTCTAGTTTGGGACTCTTCATCAGTACGCACCCACCGGAGTCCGAACCCAGGTCCTTCCGGTCACAAGGTCCATTAAGCCACTTGGACCCGATCCAATGGCCCATGAATACTAACTTCTACCAATTCACGACATAGCGCGACCACTAGCCAATATCATCTTTTCAGTCTTCATAAGCATTTCATTTGAAAATCCTTCCTTATACAATTAAGTTTCACTAATTATCACAGAGGAAGTAAATAAATGTAACAATAAATTTATGAGGCAATAAGAAGACGTAATTTGTCTGAATCGTGTAATGCATTTGCACAACACATTTCGAAAAATCTGATCACACACGGACTTGTCATAGAAATATACTTGAAATTAGTAAAGGGTTAAGAAGTGAGAAAATCAACAAAGGTC